TGTTTTTAATTGTTTTTGGTTTCGTTTGGTAGTCTCCCTATTAGTCATCGGGGCGGTCTGTGCGTTCTCGAAGATTTTCGCATTTCGAACACGTCGCAAGAATACCGACAATACCCCCTCTAGCACCTCAACGAGAGGGCTGCACACATTAGAGGTGGCGTAAATCGGTTTCTCGCGACGTGTTACCCCTATATCTGATAGAAAATTGACGAGTTTTGATGAAAGATTTCTGCTTAAAAGTTGGTGTGTGACGTGTCAACTAGCGTATCAACGCCTGGATAGGGAACATTGCAACTACTATGTACTCACTGTGAAAAGCGTTTCAGAGTGCCCAGCAACCTTTATTTCGCCTGTACAAACATTTGTTCTGCCAAAAGCCGTACTGTTATCAATGTCTGTTGAATCGAGGCCCGAGATCTCACTGCGTTCATCGCGATTGCTATCAATAACATCACCGTCTCTTTCCTGAAGCAAAACGACTGCGCCTTCAGGACCTGCTAGAGCTATGGCCGGGGGATCTAGACTTCCTTAACCAACACAGTCGAGAGAGAGAGAGAAACATGCTTACGAAGAATACTTCCTTCGTCAAGAATCGGCTTTATTCGCGCATATCGCACAAGACAGCTTCACGAATCTCCTCCGGTTGATAGCCGAAAAACTGCCACCAGAGCTTGCGTCACATATTGCAGGGTTATCGTGGCCATGCGCTTTGCAGAAACCAGCGATAATCGTCGGGGAGAGCCAATCCTTACTAGACTTTGCAAAGAGTCCGAAGAGCAACCACAGCAGCGTCCTCAAGTTCGCAGAAGAGCCGGTCGTAGTTACTTACTCCAATTTCTTAGGATACCCGTATGCAACAAGTCTTACCTTGCAAATAAATGCAGTTGCCGACCGCCAAAAGGGCCTGCCTATTGCCGTCACGCGGGACGAAGCAGGTGTGCTTGATATAAACTTCCAACGTCAATTCAGGTAATCGCGAGCCTATCCTTAGTACAGGCTGATTCAGGCTAAGACCGACGACCTAGAGCTTTGCGTTTGCACCAAGGTATGAATGCTACAACTACCAGTCTCCCCGCTGACATTGACTAGAACATCATTGCAGATGTCGAATTGGCAAACGCACATGCGCCATCTTGGAATCCATACTGGGATTGTCAACTTCTATCTCGACCCAAAGTACCTGCGTGGTATGTTCATGATTGCGAGACATCTCTTCCTCAGCCCAGGAGATATGTGGAGCTCAATAACGACACACGAGGAGTCATTGTTGGTTGCAATATCAACGGTTTTGTGAGCCTTGAAACGTATGGCCACGGTGGTAAACCACATCACTATGCTCAACGCAGGGATGTGGCCCCAAAACTTACTGCATATATATGTCTTCCTCTTGCCAAGGGCGAGTTTATTACTGCTGCATGGATTCGTGAGTTGAACAACGCGATAAGCATTCGCGAGCCTGTTCTTGTGGTAAGTAGTATATCCGTTTATAAGTAACAATCTTACATTAAAGCAGTTGAGCACATGCTTTCAGCGTACCTGTACCTCTGGGCCTTATGTGCCGAGGGAATGCCAGCAAGAATACCGGTATGAAGCTCTCGTTGAGCAAAGTGCCCATCGGATCACAGGGTTCTGCTACAACGACAAGGGGGGTTTACCCTCCAGCCAAGCAAAGATTGGTGTCACCTACGAAGAGAAGCCAATGGGACCGCTATCCAATCCACCTTTCCAAGCTGCGTATACTCTCCCCAATTCGCGAATACCGCAATGGTTCGTGTCCTCGGCATGTCTCGCTGGAGCACTTCACGTACGGTTATTTGTTGATACGAAACAACCCCACACGCCGACCATGGGAATGCTGCTCACGTACGGAAATCGCCAGGAATCATTAGGGCAGTGCAGATTCGACTGCGATGTGGAGGATTATGACCTGACAGGACCAATTTATTTCTCCTCTGGGGAGACTGAATTTGGCCCTTACACAAACATCACTTGCAACAGTGTCAAGGAGCAAGGCTGGAGGGAAATTCCTCCAACAGCGAAACTCGTGTGGTGGTTCACGGCTACTTGTTCGCAACTAGATGTCAGTATAATATAATTTGGGGCACATAGCTTGATCCCAACACGTTAGTTTCATGCTGGGCAGCAACGCCAAAACGGCACATGCATCAATACAGGCCAATATGGACAGGAAATCTTCAATTGACATGCTATCTGACTCCGATCAACCCAAGTCTTGGAGTGACTCGAAGCCCATGGTTCCATATTGAATGGACATTGTACTGAGCCACTCGATAAGGTCTTCGTTCAACGTGCAAGAGTGTGTTTCCCCCCAAGACAAACTGGCCCAGTCAGAGTACCGCATCTCGTCGAGGCAGTCACACAGATCCTCGCAGCTCATGTTGGTGAATGGGGCCACAAGCGGAGGGTCTATGAGGCCCTTCTCATCCATGCCTTTTGTCAGGGCCCCGAGCAGAAATGATCCGCATGCAAAGGATACATGGTCATCCTCAGGACATATATAACTGCTGCTGCGATATTTCTTGAGCAAGTTGTGCAGACCGGAAAGGATGGCTTCGATCCCTTCTTGTCGCCTGCTGTTTATCTTTTCTATTGTATGTATATCAGAATCTTTACATTTTTTTCACAGGCACCGCTTCAACATACCTATCACCCTCGAGGGAATCGGCAAGTCCAGGGTAGACACGGCCTCTCTAGCATGCGTTATCGCCACAAAAGTGGCATACAGAAAGGGTTCTTCGTCGCTAAAAGTCCACGCGACCCAGATCCACAGCACCAGATCTCGGCAGTATGTCGTGGGCAGATCGGTTTTCTTCAGCTCCTTGAGCCACAACTCCTGGAAAATCTCGAGCCCTTCGCCAAAATGGTAGTAGTCTTCTACCACGGCGATTTTTGCTAGCATCTCCAGCGGTATCACTCGTGGTACGTTCCTGTTGCGGCCGTGGATGATTTGCATGACAATGAGAAAAGCCTCCGGGTCCCAATCGTGAGCGTCGATGTGGTAGAACCCATCGGATTCGTGGGGGATTGATTCTTTGAAGCCGTCCTTGTCCAATGCGCGCTTGAACATGGGCGATGCAAGCATCAGGTGGCGCGAGGAGACATGGTAATAAACGTCATCTTGTTCAGGTTCTGTAGCTTGTGAGGCTGCATCAGAGGGAACAGCATCATTGCTGGGCTCGGAAGTAGATGGGGCTGCTGTGTTCCTGGATCTACCTCTCGCCACCAAATGCCGGGTCAGCTGGGGCTTAATGATAAGATCGTCTTCCTTTGCTTTCTTCTTCCTCTTTTCATTCAACCGTACCCATGACGCCCATGCACCCTCTGGCTCTGTTAGGGCAGGCTGCCAAGGCGCAAAATCGGTGCAAGCATTCTTGAGCGTGATAATCGTGTCTGCATTCGGATCGATTTTGTGCACAGTTGGTACCATGTTCCAAGGGTAGGGTGGAAGGGTAATCCGTGAGGTAGATTTACGCAGAGTAAAAGATCCAGTGTTGTCGTATACGAGAAGGCGACGCCCAGCCTTCTTCTTTTCGATCTGGATAACGCCGAAGGACCGTGTAGGGGCCGATGCACTAGCGGAGAGCGAATCACGCCTTTCTGATAAGCTGTCAGTATGACTCGTGTAGTATGCGGCTCTGTGATCGGGGTTGGGGTAATCCCTCACCATCGCGGCGTATTACGGTATCGTTGGGTATTGGTGGGGTTGGGAAACCACGTGATCTTGACAACGCATGTTTTCCGGGCATGCATTCCTTCACTTGTAACCCATGCATTTACTTACGTAATACAACTCATATTGTTGCTGAAGGTTGAGTACATTTTAATTACATCTCGAGAAGAGATAGCAATACCTTTTAGATATGACATGCACTACTAAAGCCTTTGAACAACAGCCTTGATATTCCCCTCACAACCCCTAGGCACCACCCTCCCTCTTTGCATATTCATCCTCCATTTTCTCCTCATATTCTTCCGTCACATCCTGTATGCGGCCTGCATCTGAACCACGTGAACCTCCAAGCTGCCTGCCATTGGCATCTGTCTGGTAGCGCTCGACGCGCGGGGCTTCGCCTGGCGCTTGGTGGGTGCGCTGTACGTGGGTGCCGCTGGGGTCTGAGTATGTTTGCTCAGACTTTGAGACTGTTTGTCCGTTGACGGTTGTGGAACTGCTGGAGGTGGAGAAGGATTGGAATGTTGATGAGGACATGGCGGGCTGTTTGTATGCGTTGTAGAGATTGATTTCTAGTTTCGTATGGTTTACACTAGTAGTAGGGGTTCGGATAGTAGAGTATGAGTCTTGGAAGAGGGCATGGCGATGCAGCTGCTCTTATGTCGTTGGTGTTCAGCAATGTGATCTCATAGCGTGACGTCATAGGGTCCAGCGCTGGTACGCGCATGTGCATGCATCCAGTAAACCGAAAAGAAAAATGCAGGCTAGCTATATTAGCATGGTTCGCGACCGAAAAAATGAATATCAAGTGGATTGGTGTAGGGCTGGTTTGATTGGAGTCGGAATCGGAGACACGTGATGAGCACCATGGCAGCTTCAAGTAACCTACTATAGTTGCCCAATGCTGTAAACAACGCAAAAGCTCCAACATGCAGGCACCTTGGATGTGTTTCAGTGTAAAAATAGAGTGATACATAGTGCTTTTTAGTGCTTATCGTAATCACGGTGTTGCCCTGAACTTTACTGTTTTTCCGTCCACGACTAGCAGCGCTGGGAATAGAACGGCTTTGTCGCATGCAATGTCGCATGTGTAGCACTCGCAAGACAAGTTTTTTTTTAACTCATGGTCTCAGAAATCAGACCCAAGATGATTGTGACGATGTATACGAGCATTCCAAGCCATGTGCGCTGCCATTCTATGGGCTGTATAGCGATATCGAAGTGGAGCCATGGTAGGGCAAAGACTAGGCTGGGCTGGGCTGGCCCTGCGCCGGCCGGGCTCGCCCCACTAGCGCACCACGCAACCGGCGCCAACGCTACGCCCCTGACAGGCTACGGCCAAGGCCCCGATCCATCGAGGCCTAGGCATCGCCTCGCTCTCCGCCATTCACCATCACCACCACTCTCGCCATGCGCTTGTTCGGTCCACCGCTTTTCGCATCCATTCTTGCTGCAGCGCGCGGCGCCCAGATCCCGAATGCGCCTGATTGCCATGATCCCAAGCAGACGGGATCCGAGAAAGAATGCGCGCAGCCTATCGCAGACGTTACGGCTGTAAGACCCGGATCGTCGTACATTGTGAAGCTTGAATGCAAGGACTGTCCTTATGTCGATCCGAAAGGGGACAAAGTCGTGAATGCTGACCATCTGCTGGTATGCCCTTGCCGCTGCTCAAGAATGCCACGCATATACTGACCATGCTTCTTCGCACCACAGCTGCTGAATGTCACCCTCACCCACGACAATCGCACAATCCTGCTCAACGACAAACCGCTATATCCGCTACCCACTATCCCCAAGCCGCCGCACTTCAGCGCTGCCGAGTACCGTACCAACCTGTCCAATGCAGAGCTGTATTACGGTCTGACAAGCCCAAACCCGTACTGCATCACCTCAGCTCCCACACAATCGGACTCCGTCGAGTGGTGCTTGGACATTCCGCTTTCCCCCAAACTGCGCCCCATGCTCGACTATCTGTACATTGTCAATCCAACCAGATACGACCGGGACGACAAGGATGCCGAAGCACAGTACTGGGACCTGTCGCTAGATGTGATTGGAAGGACACGGTATCCAGACGAGCCGCGCTGGCCGTATGATAACTCGCAGCAGAAGATGCTATCGATGCTGGTCAAAGGAACGCCCCTCACCACACGAAGGGGCAACGGAGGAAACACGGCCGCTGATCCGTTCAATGGCCAGTCGGACACAGACGATATGCGCTACGAATACCAGATCATCGACATGCACCTTGCAGCCCGAGCCTATACCTTTCCCGCCGAGAAATCATTGTCGCTTTGGGGCAAGTTGGGCCATTTCTTCGGCAACGACGTGTGGGAAGTACAAGGTCGCCGCCTTTTGTTTCTTGGAGTAGAGTGGGGCGAGTATGGCAAGAAAGGAACCCTGCGCGACATTTTTGGCGAATTCGTCCACTGGGAGCTTTGGCCCTTGTTCTGGATCGTCTTGTTCAGCACTGTCGGGGGTCTGTTTGCGCTTTTTGGCCTGCAAAAGCTCTTCAAATGGATAGTTGCGCAACGCGAACTCATGAAGTGGGACGGCATGGAAGACGTCTGGGAGAATATGAGGAGACAAAGAATAGCAGAAGAGGAGGGCGCGCTACTCCATGCACAAGGGAGGTATACCGACGATCCCGAAGAAGGTGGAAGTTCATCACGACCACCGGCATATGAGGACGCGATGAAGCCACTGCCAAGCAAACCTCTCCCTGAGAAGCCCTTACCTGAGGTTCCGCTTATCGATGCATGAAGGAGGTTATATTACGGCCAGAATTTCTCATAGCATATATCAGCGTATACCCATTGGCGTCATGCCGTTTCAGCTCCAGTTGGTTATCATTTAATCATGGGATATCATGTTATTTTCGCAGATGGTCATCTTACATGTATGCCCATCCAGAGTGCCCAAGGAACCAATCATCTTTACACGCTCTAGTTTCCCAAAGTTCAAGTTTGCAACACCTGGCCATCCGAGCAAACGGGTGTGTACCACACTGAAAATTGGGTTTTATTTTTCTAAAATCCCCATTAAGTGATACTAGTTGTCTTTTGCAGAAACTGAGACATATATCAACAGTAGAATAGTCACTGTTGAAAGACCATGTCATGTAATCATGACGGCAAGCACTATAGATGTCAGCACGAGTCATAAACCATGCCGTCGGCGGCGGAACAAAAATATACAGCAAGGCTTATTCCTATTACAAATACACATGACGTCCTACTAGGACACGCTTGCTCCAAGCAAAACCATCTTTTGTGCTGATAGCATCTGGCATCAAATCGCAAGACAACCATGGTCAGAATTGCAGTAGCCGGCGGCACCGGAAGTAAGTTTCTTCACAGCCATGGCGGAACTACCCCGCCTAGGACATGAATACATGATTGCATGCCATACAACTATATCAAAACTCACACGCTTCAGACGTCGCAACCAACCTGCTAAAATCCGTAATCGCCTCCAACCAGCACGACATCACAATCCTCACACGATCAGCGCCATCAAAACCCCATGCCTCACCCAAAGTCTCTTACCTCCAAGTCGATTACACAAACCGCGGGGCCCTGACGACCGCTCTCCGCGGCTTCCACACAGTCCTCTCTTTCTTCGTCGTGCACCTCGACGTCGACAACGTCGCGCAGAAGAACCTGATCCACGCGTCCATCGCCGCGGGCGTAACGCGGTTCGCGCCCTCGGAATGGGGCATCGCCAACGGCAGCGGCGTAGCCAGTTACGACAACAAAGACTACATCCGGCGGTACCTCGAGGACCTGGACGCCAAGGGCGAGCTCAACGGCATGCAGTACTGCCTGTTCCAGCCCAGCATCTTCATGGACTACTTTGCGCATCCGTACCCGCTGGAGCGCGACCTAATTACCTGGCCGTTCTTCATCGACTTTGAGAACAGACGCGCCATGGTGCTTGATGCGGGGGACCAGCCGCTCGTGCTGACGGCCATCCAAGACGACGCGGAGATACTGGCGCTCGCGCTCGCCGACACAGCGCGCCCGTGGCCACGTATCGGCGGCATCAGGGGGTGCCGCACGAGCATCAACGAGCTGATTGCTCTAGGCAAGAAGATCCGCGGCGGCGAGTGGACAATCGACCACATCTCGAGCAAAGACGTCGAGAGCGGCGACGCAAAGTTCCCCTGGGTCCCGCTGTTAACGCATCCGACTATCCCCACCGACATGATCGAGTCCTTCTCCAAACAGTTCCTATTCATGTTTTTCACGGCCATTGCACGGGGCGCGTGGAACGTTAGCGGCGAGCTCAACGACTTGTTTCCCCACTACAAGTTTATGAGTGCGGACGAGTACCTTACCAAGGCTTGGGAGGGCAGGCCTTAGATGCACAGTGGACATGACGAGTTTCATCTACTTTATCAGTTCATGGCTGATTTGTATGTTGCATGGTTCTGGCACAGTGGTAATGACGAGACAATGAGCATGCAGTGTGTGTGTGAATGACAAGAGACATCTTATTCGATATCGGAAAAAAAAAATAAGTTCCTTTGTCTCTAGGACAAGAAAAAGAACCTATATAAAAGAAGAAGAAGAAGAAGAAGAAGAAGATAAATATACAAAAGAAAAGTCAGAAAAAATTGACCGTTTGTGTGTGTATGTGTGTGTGTGTGTGCTTCTCATCTAGAGAGTAACAAACAACAACAACAACAACAACAAGAATTCTCCTTCTTTGCCGGCAACAAACCAAACTTTTTTTTGTGTGTATAAGAGCGCAATTCAACAACCATGTCGACATGACTTTTCTTTTAAACAAAGTAGCTCTTGATCTTGGGCAGGATACCCGTCCAAGCCGGGCCATCGGTAGGCTCCATGCTGTACATGTAGCTTCCCCACCAGGGGCCCGCAGCCCACCAGATAGCGCCCTGCCAGACATCCGAGTTCTTGTTCATGTATTCGAGGCCGCCCTGGAGCGCGGCAACACACTGAGCATTGCTTCCCGCGCCGTACTCGCCGATGACACCGAGCTTCTTGTTGTCCTTGAGCCACTGGGTGGCGGCGACAAGGCGCTCCTGGAAGATGGTGGTGCTGACGCAGTTGGCGTTGGTGCCTGAGCTGTCGCTGTCCAGGTACTGGTGCATCTGGTACACGAGCTTGTTCTCCGGGTCCTTGAGGTTCGCCATGGACGCGGCGTTGCCGGAGGAGACCCACGACCACGCGCCGGTCCATGCGTTGCCTTCGGGCGTGATGATTTGCGATTTGGCGCCCGCCGCGCGGATGCCGTTGATACCTGCCTGGTTGAGGTTTACCACGAGAGTTTGGTCCATGTCATGGAACTCATTGTTGATGTCGAATACGACGAGCGAGTTGTCTTTGAATTGCCCAGCCACGTTGGTCCACCATTTCTCGAAGCCCGCCGTGTCGGTCATGATCTGGCCGTTGAAGCGGCCGTAGTTGTGCGGCTGGATCATGGCATAGGCACCCTTGGAGGTGACGTGGTTGACTTGCGCCGTCAGGTTGCTAAGGTAGTTGGCGTCAAAGGAGCCGGTAAGGGAGCCGGGCGTCAGGCGCTCCATCACTAGGTCGCTGTTAGTAACCTGGTGGGATTGAATCGCGGATAGACGGCTATCTTACAAAAGTTGATACGGAACATGTTCATGCCCTGTCCGATGAACTGGTCGACCTTGTTGAGATCGGGCCAGATGTAGTCCTTGTTGTATAGACCTGGAATGTTGGCTTTGCCAAACTCGGGACCAGACTCGTTGATGCCGAACCACTTCATCTTGCCAGAGGCCGTGGTGGAAGCGGAAGTGGAAGAGGAAGAGGCGCCACTGGCCTTGGTGTTGGTATTGGCATTGGTATTGGTGTTTGTGTTCGTGTTTGTGTTCGCGTGGGTATCAGTACCGGTGTTGGTATTGGCGGCGGCGGCAGTCGTCTTCGTCTTGCGTGTCTTGCATGGGCCGGCAAAGGCGGTGCTGACCAGAGCAGCCGCAAGGAAAATGTTGTTGAAAAGCATGGTCAAAAGAACGAATAAGAAGTCTTGGAAAAAGCTTGTCTTGTTTCATCCAACGCTGGCGATGGAGACCGTTTTATACCAAGAACCCATCTTCAATTTCCCCTCGTCATAAAGTGAATTCATCTAGTGCCAATATGAAACTGCTCTATACATGACCCCCCGACATTGCATTCCCGCACTGGGATGGGCAATTGATTATCCAAGGGTATCCAAACTGAATCGATCAGGTACCCGAGTCACGCGCATTGCCGCGTGCGCGGAAACGGGAAATGTCATTCGTGGGAGAGGCGGAGATGATCGACTGTACAGGCTTGACACAATGCACCAATGGTCGAGATTGTCAGAATGTGTGCCGTAATTGCAGGCCCCGCCGTGAAACATCGGTCGCCGCTCGCTTCGCGACGAAACTGGTCGTCTTGGGACAGGCGCCATCGACCCCGGCATGCCGATTATCCAGCCCTGTATATTGGCTGCATATTGAATCTCCTCATGTTTAACCACTTGTGCATTAGCTTGTCATCTACCGGTGGCTTTTACAAGTAGAATCCCGCCAAACCCTCCACCTCCGCAAAAGAACGACGCGCAAAGGCTAAGCTTCACAACGGAAAATCTAAATTGCTTGACACATAGGATGAGTACAACTAGCGCCACAGAACCATAATAGACAGTAAGCAGAGAGCCATACGAGATCCTATGCCGTATCAGGAAATCAACGTGGGCCATAACGTCAGCTAGTGTTTATGCGGAGTGGCTGGTAGACGGCTCATGCCTCAAGCGACGTTCCGTGCGCCACTCGCGAGAGCACACAGGTGAACAGGGGACGCCGATCTGAGCCAGTGCCACGGTATTCTGTATTGACGTTGGGCGGAGGTATATCGTCTCAATGCTCCAAAGGGCATCAGTCAAGCTTTGTACTAGTCTGAGTCATCAACGACGAATGCTGCGCCGACCGGAGCTTGAAAACATGTGTCTAGGTGAAGCACCAAGTGTATTTCCTGCAAAGCTATCAAAGGCGTTTTGACTACTCCTGACACCAGCAGGTTGCAGATTTTTCCATTGAGGCTGCGTGCGAGCAAAAGGACGATTTGAAATGGCCAAAGGCACAGTTGAAGGTGCCTCTCTGATCCGATTATACGTGGATAGGTTCAAAGAGGACGAATATGCTGCGGGTCGGACATATTCCGGGGATTGCCTAAAGTATGAAGGTTGTGTTCTCGAACAAGCATTTGTGCTGTCGTTCGCATATGACAGTTGCCCCATCCCTGGTCGCCCGATGAAACTATAAGAGCTCGGATCATGTCTCTGGTGGTAACGGGGTGCGCCTGGCTCTAGCTCGACTAGTCTGCGCCTTCCAGTCAACTTTGCGAGCTCGTTTCCTGAGCTGACCGGCGAATCGAAGAAAGAGAGCCCGTTGAGGCTGCGAGGCTCAGGCCATGCAATCTGGGGCTTGTCCATCTTTGGCCTTTGAGACCGATAAACGCCTGAACGACTTGAACTATGCTGAGGTTCAGCGAGACCAGATGGCGAGTAGACTTGGGTCTTGCTATGACCACTTCTGAAATAAGGACTTACTACATTTTCGATCTGATGGCCGGGACGTGCATGTCGCCTAGGCTGTGGGGTGGCGCCGCCAGCGCCTGACAGATTGTAACTTCTATTCGTGTTTACGATAGTTGTTCCAGACCGTGGAGATTGCTGGAAAACATCGAAATAGTTCGACGATCCATGCGGAGATTGGTGCATGAGAGGGTGTCCAAAATTCCAGCGCTCTTGTCGGTCTGCCCCTTGCAGTCCTGGCTCCCCCTCATACAACCGTGATACTTGGTTGTTTCTGCTGTCATCTAGATAATTCGAGTTCGAGTTGTCGCGAGGATCTTTCAATCCCAGCTCCACACCAGTGTCGCGCGTGAGACCGTCCATTAACCGAATATACGAAGGCTCACTAGGCAGCTGCGTTGAATGGCGTTCGTGATTATGGCTATACGGTTTGACACAGGATGATGCACGGAATGTGAAGTCTGACTGGTTATTGTTAATGCCCATGCTGGTGAGTAGCTGCGGACTTGTCTGGGCTGGAACTTCGGATGACTGCTCCGCTGGAAGAGCGCCCGACATGTATGGAGTCTCGCTACGGAACCCAGTATCAATCCGTTGTTGAGTCGCATCGATGCCCTGCCACTTCCTTTCATCGTACATTTGAACATCGCCGTCATTTCTAGGGACATCTTCGACTACCGAGGTGGAGCGGTCACTGGAGAACTTCTTCCGCAGATTAGGAAACATCTTGCGCACGGATTGCATCCTTGATATTGGCTTTGGTGGGGGCTGCATAGCGTGTCGGCCAGGGGAGCGATCGATCTGCATGTCTCGGGGAAGAGGTGACTCCAGGCGCTGCCGCTTGATAGGTCGATGTGCGTAGGGGCTCGAAGATGTAGTCCCTACTCTACCCGATGCGTGCGCGGATCTGCCAACGGTATGGCTCGAAGCAGTCTTTCGCAACGCACTGCCAGAGTCACCGCTATCCCTGCCAGGTAGGGCTTCGTCGCTGTCGAATGCGCTAGGGTCGACTCCCTTGAAATTCGGTATAGGCTCTAGAGCCATTGCAAAGCCTAGCTGAGCGAGCCGCTGTTGCATCTTCTCGTTCTGGCTGGGAAAATCAGCAAATTAATTGTATGACGGATGCGCTGGCTTACTCCATCAGCATTGGAACAAGCTTCAGGTAGTGTCTGATCGCTGACTTGTTCGCTACGAATGTCTTGAGATCTCTTGGGTTGATATTGAGGTTACGAAACTGCTCAACTTCCTGTTCAAGAGCTTGCAGTCGCTGCACCTCAGCTTTCATGGCCTCGAACTGCTCTTTCTGAATTCTTAACTGCTCATTCTCCTTCTGTAGTCTGACGAACTCTGCATGCTCTTGCGATGCGCGGGTCTGTATGTCAGCGAGCTTCTTTTCTGATTCCTGGAGGGCTTGCTGAAGTGGTTTACGGGTCGCATAAGTGTTTTGGCAGTATCGAATGAGTGCGATATACTGAAACTACATGCTGTCAGCTGGTTGTCTTTGTGTGCGTACAATATTGCAACATACACGTAGAGCATCCATATCCTTGCCACTGCCATCAAGTCGAATAGGCGGGGCAGTAAACCAAGCTGGTGGAATCAGAGGATCGTATTCATTCTTGTTGAAGCCACGGATCGAGTACAGGAACTGAGGCGCACTGTCACCTTTTTCTTTGATGCACACAGGACAAGGCGCCTTTGGACGCTCCTTTTCGCTGTGGAAAGGCGGTCCTAGATGCTTATTAGCAATTGCCTTGTGTAGCGTTGGGGTCGCATACCGCCGCCTTCCAAATGACTGCTGCAGAAAACATGACAACAGTTTGAGAGAAAGAGTCGCGTTACAAGTCGCTGTTTAGGGTTGATTCCGTCTGACAGGCCCCGAACAGTCTCATTGTGGCCCTCATAAACATCGGCAAACGAAGCGCCACACAGCGAACAGGCGTAGATGAAGTTGAGAGGAGCTGCGCCCAGGTCAGCTGGTCCTTTCTCGGCTACCGCACTCATTTTGTGCAATGGCGGAGATGTCTGCAATGGGCAAGCTGTGGTGCAAAAGATGGAGGTAGCGCGCACGCAGGTCGCGCGTGACGAAGAGTCAAGAAGCCGCAAGCAACGACGCCAAGACATGAGACCCTGATCGTGCCTTCCTTTCGTGGTGAAGTGAGAGGTGAGAGGATAGGTATTGCAGCACGGACATTGTTGAGAGACAAAATTGCCATGGCTTGCGAGAAAAGGGACAAACTTGGATCAGGCAAAGGTCAAGGAGATCACGGAGGATTGATGCAGAAGCGGGCAAGGAAATTCTTTATATGTACAGCACATGGATCGTCTTTGTCTACCTACCAGGGACTCCATTTAGATCTAAACAAATGTCCGGCACGGGTAGCTGTATCATGTTAGCATCACGGTCTCGAAACACATGGTCTTGCGACTCACTCATTGCCATATGACTGCTCGCTCTCCAGCTCGTATCGCTTGTGTCCTGCAACACCGGTGTTATGCAGACCGCTCGGCATTGGGGGCAAGCCACCGGGGCCGAGGACATCCTTTGCGAGACCAGTGTTCTTCTCGAATGCGACAGCGAGTCCCTTTGCGCCTTGCTCCTGCGCCGCCATCAGAGACTTGGAGCCTGCCTCGCCAATCAACTCCTGCTTAGGCGCTGCTGCGCTTCCGACCTCGAGCAACGCAACTGCATCCGACTGGGTGACGGTCGAGAGCCTGGGGTAGCGCCGGCGCACGTCGCGCTTCCAGTACGGGTTCTCGGCGATGTCGGCGGCAGGGACAGTGACGGGGTCGTCGTAGGCCATGGGGTCATTGGCACCGGGGGGTGGGTTGCGGAACTGCGGGTTCAACGGGACACCCGTGGAGCGCTTGGGGTCGAGGGCAAACAGCCTGTTGATCGCGGCATAAATTCCAGTAGGCTGAACAGTGTATTTCTACATGCACATCATCAGCGTGATGTCTCCAATGGTGGTGAGAGCTGGTAGAGGGGCGTTGGGCTAGAGCATGTCGACGTCGAATTGGGGGCGCTGTACCGAGAAGACCGTCGTCTTCAGATTCTTGGCCGCCGACATGATGGGCGCTCAATTGGCTAGGCAAGCTAGAAGAGCGGAATCGGGTCGAGGTGCGGGCGTGGTGCTGCTGCGCGTCCAGCGTTGCTATCGTGAAGGTTGATGTTCGCGAGTCTCGACATATGCCAAGACGGCGATTCCCGCTTCTATTGGCTGCTTCTCATTCGTCACTGGTCTCTATTAAGACATGCCGATCTTCCAGTTACTATATGGCTAAAAATCCTGAGTATTGCACTAGATTGTCGTTCGGGTTTAGTTTTACCTGACGGTCTGTCTGACATCTAGCGTGTGGCAGGAAAAGCGCGCGAATGGCGTTTGCACCTATCAACGTAGACCAGGCTGGCAAGCAGGATAATGGAACAATTCACCACTCGCCAATATCTCGATAGATACGAGGATGAGCTACAGCTAATCAGCTTGCTTTGTTTTTCGCTATCTATCTTGTTGGACTCGATACTTCATGGTCATCACAACCGGACAGTGGACGAGAAAAACTATCCCAACGCTGTAGACAGCACGGTACTTTGGTATCCATCAAACCCAGACATCTGCAACGTCATCTTACTTACAGAAATGAGCAACACCATGTTTCACCTGCCCTGGGCCATGATGCTATACACACCAAAAGACCAATCTTCATGAGACCCGCCAAGCAAAAACAAAACGTCACTCAACAAAGCCACCTGCTGCACACGACTGCTGACATGCATGGCACGTACATCGCGATCGAACTCTCCCCCAGCCATCCTCTGCCTCCCACGCCTACGCGCTCAATATCCGCATCCTTCCATGCCGCAAAAGCGGGTCACCTAGCAAAACGACATCACTATCCGCTTTAGCGGCATCGCCAGCTTCGATATCCGCCGCACGTGGTTGGCCGCCGTGGCGGTGCTTGGATATCCGGTGGTAGCCGTAGTGCGCCGCAACATATACCCAGTGTTCCCGCATTGATCCTGCGTCAACAACGCGTTGGCCATCGTGCGTGTGACTTGCTCCACCGCACCCAAACTCTTTGTCATCGCAGATGCAGAGGGTATTCGGGGGACAGCCGGATGGTGGTGGAAGGGCGCGAGAGTACTTAGGTTGCTGGTTTTTCTCTCATGTGGAGTGCTGGAGTATCTCTCGAATGCTCTTTTGACTTGTGATAAGAGTACTTTTTGCGGCAATGGGACTGAGTGTGTTGCAATAATATCCACTACCTATCCTCAACTCTGTTCCAGACAACGTTGCTTGCGCTGCCATCATGGCTATCCTCTTGTTCATAGCTTCCGTGTTTGGAGCGCTGATACTCTATGTACGCCGCTCTGCAGTCCACTATGAAACATGGCTAATGCGACCCCCAGATTTTCGGTGTTATAGTCTACCGCCTTACCCTTCACCCTCTGGCCTCCTACCCTGGCCCTTTCCTTGCCAAAATCACAGACATATACCTCGCTTACTACGCCTACAAAGGCTCGCGACATCTCGCTTTTCACCGCGCACATGAGCAATATGGCCCCTATGTGCGCCTCGGACCCAACCTGCTGTCAGTCAACACGGCAACCGGACTGAAATCCATCTATGGCTTCCGCTCCAATGTAAAGAAGGCATCGTTTTACGAAGCGTTCCCCAGCACACCAAAGGCAGTCAGCGTGCACAGCGCGATTGACAAGATGCAACATGCGCGCAAGAGGAGAGTCATGAGCCATGCCTTTAGCGACGCCGCAATCAAGAGTTTGGAAAAGTACATTCTAGCTAATGTGCGTGTTGGCTGCGAGCTGCTTGGACGCAAGAGCAACAACTGGTCCGAGAAGAGCATGGGTAACGAGAAAGACGGTGGCTGGAACGATGCCTGGAATACCGCGCACTGGTGTGAGTGGCTCGTCTTCGACATCATGGGCGACCTCGTCTTTGGCAAGGCTTTTGGCATGCTGGAAAGCCCTGCCAACCGCTTCGCAACGGAACTGGTGGGAAATGCGGCTCATCGCCATTTGATCTGTGGCACGCATCTCACCATCCACAACTGGCATTTGGATAAGCTGTTCTTCCGCAAGATTGCCGGCCAGCGCGCACAGTACATGCAGTACAGCAAAGGCCAGGCTATGGAGCGCACAAAATTGGGCCTCGATGTTGATCGCAAAGACTTCTTTTACTATCTGCTCAACGCAAAGGATCCCGAGACGGGCAAGGGCTTCAGCATGGATGAGCTGTGGGGCGAGTCGAATCTGCTGATTATTGCTGGCTCAGACACGACGTCCACGGCCATGGCCGGCACAATGTTCTACCTCGCAAACAACCCTGTGGCCATGCAAAAGGTCTGCAAGGAGATCCGCGAAACCTTTACTGATGTCGAGGAAATCGTGACTGGGCCCAAACTCAGCGGCTGCTCGTTCCTGCGCGCCTGTATCGATGAAACGATGCGCATGACGCCCCCGGTAGCTGGTGCTCTTCCACGACAAGTCCTCACTGGAGGCATGGACATTGATGGCCGTCACATTCCCGCCGGAGTCGATGTCGGCGTCCCCATCTACACAATCCATCATAATGCCGATTACTTTCCTCAGCCATTCGACTACATCCCCGAGCGCTGGCTCTCAGATGCGTCGGTCAACCCACATCACAAGAGTCTCCAGGCAGCCCAGTCGGCATTCAACCCTTTCAGCATTGGCCCTCGCGGATGCATTGGCAAGGGTCTTGCATATGTTGAATTGACCGTGACAATCGCGAGAGTTTTGTACTTGTATGACCTGAGGCTAGCTCCTGGCACGAGGCTGGGTGCAGGAAGCAGGGAGCTCGAGGAGGGCAGGAATAGGGAGACTGAATACCAGATCCAGGATGTGTTTGCGAGTAAGAAGGATGGACCAATTCTGCAGTTCCGCGCCAGAGTGTAGTTAGGGCAATAGTAGCATATTATGAATTCCCACCTTATTGATGGTCTTGGCACGAGTTTTTGTTCATGGCGTGCCACAATGTCGAGTCTCTTGGTGCGCAGGAATAGTGCAACAAAAAACGCCCCACTGTAGGCGTTACTTGTTGCGCCATGTTTGCACACCAAGGGTGAGAGCGAGTTTGCCGCAAGCGAATTGCCCTCGTTATCGATAACAGTCTTGGCACCACGAAGAGGCGTGGAACTTTTTCGGCCAATGTCCATGAGCCACCCGCCCTCCAAGCACGTCAACATTGCGGGCTCTCTGAGTGATAAAATCACATCACAATCGAAGCATTCGAACTTCATAATGTCAGTCTCAAGGGTGTTCTTGCGGAGTCGCCTCCTTCTCCGTGCAAGCACTTCCTGCGTGCGCGTCACGCCTTCGGCAATCCCATCAATCACTTCATCGTTTCCAAGAAGAACCTTCACTTCCAGCACACCAGCATGGGAAGAGATTGTCCAAACGCCATCGGCAGGCCCGGAAATCTCTCTTACGGAGAACCATGCCGAGGCAACGGGTAACCCAGCAAACTCGATTGCTTTGTTCAGAATATCACGGCGAATGTCAAAAAGGGATATGGAAGAACTTATCAAGGGCAAGGGTTTCAACATGTATGTCGTTGAGTCGCATCCTGTATTGGGATTGAAACTTGATGATGTGCTCGTACTAACCGGATAATAGCAAGAAGATTCAACTGCGAGTAGATCGCTTCAGTTTCCACAACGACGGCATGTGCTTTGTGGAGCTGGAAAGCGCTGACGAAGCCCAGAAAGCAGTAGAAGAATTGCAAGGAGTAGAAATGCACAGGTGCAAGATGGAGGCGGCGCCTTTGAAGCCCGACTTCCGGTGGGGTCCTATAGACAAGCCAGGCGAATATCCAACCCGCTACTTCATGGACGAAGGCAATGCTGCTGAAGAGGCTCTGCGCGCCCTGTTTGAAGACCGCCGAATGGTGCTTTCTGTTGAAACCCCAGGCTGGTCGCCTGGACGGCCCATCCGCGAGTCGAGGGACAGGGCGATACAGATCATTGGGGAAACCCTCGGCCCGTACGGTATCGACCGCATCAGCGACTTGTCGGTATTCTATGGCGACAAAAAGTCCAGACCACGCCTGCTATGTTCGATTGACTTCAAGACGAAAGAAGGTGCTGAGAAAGCTGCTGCAGAGAAACATAATGAAGTAATCAATGGCCGCCTTATATGGCTGCAGGCCTGTAAGCCGTCACCATGGAGGATACACCAGTTCTGGAAGTCGGCCCCCAAGCTTGTGGAAGAGATGCAAGAGAAGGGCGTTCTTTCCAAGGAAATGTCCGAGGATAAATTTGTCGATCCGCTCCCGAGGAAGAATAGGAAGACCAGACAGCAGAGGTAGGCCGGATTGGCAGGCATCTGTTATGAGCATCGTTCAATGGAGGCATGATTCTTTGGCGATAGCCTCTGCAGATGGGTTGAGGGCTCTGAGCAACGAAGCCGGTGGATGCTGAGATTGTGCATGACGAGTCCTGAGTTGGACCATCCAAAATTTATGAGGGGGCCGCACGACACGCAGCTCTGTGCGTTGTCTTTGTTCCTATCCTGTACACTAAACAAAACACCAATCATTTTCCCTACACACTACTCTGCCACAGCAGTCTTGAGCCGGAAATACGCAGAAAGCCGATTTTTTTTTGCAATTCATCGTCACAGTATTGGCGTGAGTATGTTCTCACACCAGTTGAATACTCACTACAAAGCCATATTCCCACACAAAAGACACTCACTACCAGCATCATCTCTACACCTACAGTATGAGCCAACGGAGTACTTGGCAGCCAACCCTCAAGCCCCCTGAAAAGCCACATGAAACCCATTCCCACCATCCTCCGATACTGCCCATTGCCGTGCTGGCGTGGTGGGCTCTCTCTTTCTTCGAAGCTTGGGGGAGGGACAACAGCAGGCCGGAGAAAACGCTTGGACGGGTGAAAGGGAGGGGGGTTCCACATAGCTAGGCGATGCTCTCTGCTCGGTATCGTGTCGCCCCCCCCCCCGGATTCGCGATAAGCAGGGTGCAACGACAGGCAGGGCGTTTTGCGACCGGCGTCCAACCACAACGAGGGCTTTTGCGCTGCATCAGGCAACTGTGTCGGGAGGGCGGGCGTGGCACATGCATGTGTAAGATACGCGTGCGGCTGATGTGGTTCGAGGGCAAAGATCAAGAGGCGGTGGAGGAGGAGGAGGGGCGGTGGTGTGGTCCTTGTGCCTCGCTTCTTCTCCCTCAGTGTGTACACACCTACACTTACACTGCCACCACGCCCAGCTCGGTGTGTCCAACCCTCATGCTAGTCCCCCTTTTTTCTTATTTCATTGACAGAAAGACGTCTAGAAAGGACCCTGCAGCACTGGAGCCTTTTCCCTCGCATGCTCGCGCGCCCCACCGCCTCGCTTGGCGCATCCCCTCAAGTCCCGAAGTCGCAGTCCCGTCCCTCTCTCGCCGAGTGGAATCATACCCTGCCCTCCTCCACCCACCCACATGCACTAAGACTATACCAGATACCCCAGACTTTATTTCCTTTGGCCCCTCTTCCCACACCCCTTGCTCCATGCTGCCTCCCACACGCCCTCCATGCTGCCTCTCCGACTCCTCGTTGCGTGCTGCGCGCCGGTTGACCAGGCCAGACCCTGAATATGCAGGATACACTAGCACGCCTCATGCAGGGTCTGCCCGTCTAGCCTCGTTCCGCCCACGCCGCCCCCCCCCGCCCGTGATTGGCTGCCGGGGCGTGCCGGAAGCGAAGCGACGAGGGGACTCTTGGCCCTGTCCATTCCCGCGCCATGCCCGCCTGGGGAAAAGAGTGAGGCCTGCCTAACGCCGATAGGAATATCTATGTGCGTATGTAAGATGGACGTGGAGGCCTCGTGAGCTGGCCGTGCCGAGTGGCTGATAGGGCAGTAGTGGGGGATACTGGGAGGTTTTTTTTTTGGTAATATCTAGTTTACCGGAGAAACGGGGTGGCAGGGGGGGGGGACTAATAACTACCCGACAGAGAGACAGAAAAAGCAGCCATGTGATAAACGAACCGGCGCGTTGGGGCTGTTGGATCCGCTGGGAAAGGGGGAGGCGATTGGGGAGAAATACACCTAATCCCAAGTCTGGTTCGACAGAAAAAAAACACTTGCTCGTTAGCCTGGCCTGCTGGTCCTGAGTAATGGGTGAAGGGAAGCAGAATTGGCTTCTCAACGAACAAGCGAACAAACTAACAAATCGAGCCAGCGAAAGCGCCGTTGCCCATAGGTGTAATGCTCGTCTGTCTACCCATCACAAGACACACTAGACAGTCCGGTTTGAGCAATATACTGTTCCTCTGTCTCGCTGTGCATACACACACACACACACATACATGCCGACCGCCTCCTCCTCCTCACCGCCCTCTTCTCCCATCCCAAACCATGCCATTCTCTCTTTCCCCGTCTCCCTTCCCCCCTTTCCCCGACTCCGAACACTCAACCTACCCAATCCACATCCATACTCACCTGCAGTACATACATACACAGCAGACAGCAGACATACACACACTAATACATAGACTACATCCAACGCTCCTCGGCACCCAACCCGCCGATTCCCCTTCCCCCCTAAATCCACACGCCGCCAACGGCCACCTCTGCCCTCCGCGCGCCCCCCCAAACCTTGCGTGCACAGCATGTGTGTGTGTGTGTGTGTGTGTGCTCTGCCCCGACAAGTCTCGGGCCCGAAGCACCGCAATGCCGAAAGCAATCCACAGTCGACGCCGCCAACCTGCCTGAACAGGCAAATAAGTCTTGGATCCTGCCTTTGCACCAGCGTGCCATGCAACCCGATAGATTGAGGGGAAGGGGAAGGGGGGGAGAGGCGCGGCGCGCGCGACCGGCGCCGGGCGCCCGGCGTGCATTTGCTTCCGAAGAACCGTTTTCTTTTTTGTTTCGTTGGGTTTGGGCCGACACATGAGAGCGCCGAAAGCTTAATCGCCGCCGGAAGCGGAGATGCCTTCGGATGCCCCGATGCCGACGCCGATGGAAGAAGGGGGGGGGGTCGGAGGGGGTTTTTTTGGTTGGGGCCACCGTCGGTGCGCGGAAGGTTTGTAGGTACCGTCCGCGTTGTGTATGTGTGTGGGAGCGGGTGCTGAGTGGTTTTATAAAGATGCCGTCCTAGTGCCCCCCCACCCATCCGGCCGCGCCATAAGCAGAGAGCATCAACACTTGTGTAGTGGAACTACTACACCTCTCTTTGGTTTTTCTTTGTATCTCTCTCTCTCTTGCTCTCCTAGTGTGTTTTTGTAGCCGAGCAAGCCTTGTCAGCAGCCTTCGTATTTGGAACCATTGGAAAGAGGGGAGTGAACTATATATATTAACCCTTTTTCCTCCGTCTTACTGCCGACTCGCCCCCTCCCAACGCCATCTGGAGTATTTACCTGCGGGCCGCAAGCCTCTTTGCAACAACAACAACAACAACAAAACAACAGACCACACGAAAGAAAAGAAGAAGAATACCAGAAAGGAAAAACCCTCAAGGTAAGTCCCGTGTGCTTATTTCGCAAACTCCGCGTTCCCTTGTCACACACACACACACATACAAGCCCCGGGAGCACCAAGTCTAGAACTCGGACTAAACCAAATCTCCGCGGAACAAATCCAAATATGGCTTGCGGCCGAGGCCAAACACAGATGTAACAAGAGAAAGGAAATGGCACGGAAGAAGAAGAAGACACGAACTGAAGAAGAAGAAGAAGCGGTCAAGAGACTAACCCATACATATAGACGCGTGAATCCTAACGACCTTTACCACGCACCCCCAAACGCCCATCTCACAAACCTCTCCCTCCCTCCCAATCTCCGCCAAAACCCAGAATCTCTCCAAAAAAAACAAAAAAAACAAACAAAAATGTGCTCTTACACATACTCGTGGTACTACTGCAACCATGACTATTACATCTGGTACGTCGATCAAATATTGCCTTTTCTTTCCACACCACCACCACCACCAACATGAACATGAACACACGAAATAATTAAGCTAACGCATATACCAAAACAGGGCCAACAGCATCGAAGTCTGCTCGTCGCGCCTGCTCTCGGGCTACTCGTACGACGCCTGGTCCATCGACATGTGTTCCAAGATGAAGATTGAATGCGGCGGCTTTTCAAACTACTACTGCACCGACTGCTCCGAAGACGTTGCGTTGGAGTTTGAACTGGATGAGTTGTAAACTCTTCAATTTTTTGCATCCCCGTCTTCTCGGTTCTTTCTTGATATTTTTTTTGGGGGGGGGGGGGTTTCGAGTTTTTTCTTTTCTTTTCTTTTCTTTTCTTTTCTTTTTTTTGCTTGTTTTGGTTAATG